AGACACAACAGGATGTCAATAGTGTCCAATTGGAATGGGCTGGGCAGGCAGCTCCAGGGAAAGGTGGTGAAAAGTTCCTGCTGCGCTGGGAAAAAGAGACTTTGGGGTGGTTGGAACCCAAAATGTTCCAATGCTCCACGGCGCCGATGGGTGACAATCAGCGCTCGTTAATCAGCGTTTCTTTAAAATCATTGTTTCGGGTCACTGCTCCTTTAAAATCATCCCAAATCATGCAATAATTGGCTGCATGGCTCAGTGCTGATCCTAAAATATTGAGAGGGCATCTCAAGCTTTGAAATATTTGCATATTATTTTCTAATCCACTCCTTGTTTCCCTCCAGCACGGACACACCGCTTCCCTTTCTCCTTTGCCATTCCACCATGGACATTTTGAGCAATTCCTGTCTTTTCTGCACAGCAAAAATGGCATTTGGAAACCTCCAGCACGGACACGCCACCTCCCTCTCTCCTTTGCCATTTCATGATGGACATTTTGCACAATTCTTGTCTTTTCTGCACGGCAAAAATGGCATTTTAAAGCCTCTGGGAAGTGCAGATGTGAAGCAAAGAATGAATTGGAGCTCACATGTGGAGCACATGGGCAAGCCTGGCTGAAGGATTCATTTCTTGTTAGGTTAAGAAATCCGACAGATTTTTCCAACGAAATCACCACGCGGTTGAGTGAATAATTTTGAAAGCACTTGGCCGAGCCCAAGAGGACATTTGGAAATAATTATCATCAATTTTGTTACTTATTCAAGCTGAAAAACCTCAGTGATGACTTGCTGGAGTCATTCAAAAACAACAACCAAGACAGCATTATATAAAGGCTGGAATCTGTTTGGACAAACAATAAATTCCTGGTTTCATTCCAGATTATCCAGGCGAAATTTTATGGCCTGTGCTACGCAGGTCAGAACAAAATCTGACCTTGAAACCATTGTATGAATCAGAACTAGGGATGAGCCAGTTCATCCCAAAAAACCAGAGGCAAATGCAGCTCCTTTTAAGTTTTGCAGGGACATAAATGAATATTTCTGGGATTCACCCTGCACAGGGCAGCTCCAAAAGCCTCTGGTTCAACTGGACATGTGCACTGCAGGATTGTCCTGGATAACGAGTGACAGGCAGGGCTTGGCAGGGTCCTGAGGGGCATCTCAGGTGGGAGAAGCTCCCAGTGCTGCAGATCAGTGGGCACAACCCCGGTGGGCTGAGGAGGGAGCGAGGGCAGGGTGGGCAGAGCAGAACTGCCCTTTCCAGCCCGGGGAACAAAAGGATCCAACTCCCTCTGGAAACTGGGGCACGAGGAGGTGCCAGGGGGATGCAGAGGAGCTGGAAGGGCCTCCCCAGGCTGTGAGAGCCCCAGGCACAGCTGGATGTCAGGGTGGATCAGCAGCCACGCTCCGAGCCCTGCCTCCTCTCCTGGTGGTGCTGCAGGAGCAGCCGAGTTCCAGCCCTGCTCTGAAACGCCAAGAGCTGCAGCTCAGGCCCAATTACCTGGGATTTCTCCACCGAGGCCGTGTGTTTGTCACACATGGGGCTGATCTCCATGCCTCTCTCCCTCTCCTTGTCTCCCTGCTGGAAGAACTCCTCCATGATCCTGTCCGTCCACTGGCGGTACAGCTCCAGAGACTTGGTGGGGTTGCTCAGGTCTGCACAGTGCACCATGTTCCGGAGAACCTGCAATTACATCCACCAGGGAGCTTGTAAGATCAGCTGCAAGAAGAGCAGCCTTTGGAGATGGATCTGCAGAACGTTGCACCAGAAGATTCTCTGATTATGAAACAGACCATAAAAACATCAGAAATGTTGTGGGGCAGCACGTGAAAGAGCTGGAGCTGCTGC